CTAAATTGAAGAGTGATATTGGTAATTGGTAAGGCAGTAAGGCTAAGGCACATTCAAACACACAAATTCAACCTGGTACAAATTCAATCCCCACATTCAAACACACAAATTCAATCCCTGCAGGCCACAACTACATTCAAACACACAAAGACAGTAAATGTGGAAAATGTCCACAGACTCCACACGGTCCAGTGTCCACAGTCCACACAAAATCACAGCTCCAATAAAAAAAATTCAGTAAAAAAAACTACAACTCTAGCCTCAAGTTCGTATCATTATATCAAGTATAAACTATCAACATTCAGTAAAAAACCAAAAAAAAAATTACCTTTCTCACAGACTCAGTCACAGACGGCGTTCGGCTTCGACGGACTGTTGGAGGAAGGGTTTCGCCGTTTCGCACTTCTGGGTTTCAGAGAGTCAGACAGAGAGAGAGCAGACTGGAAAGGGACGAACGGAATGGTTTGGCAGGTTGGTTGCCTTTCGCAGCTTTGAGGTAGAGAGGCGAGAGCAGAGAGTGAGAGAGGGAGTTGTGTGAGATTGTGAGAGAGAGAGAGAGAGAGGTTCGCGTTTTAGGTAAATGGGTGGGATTGGGAATTAGGTTTAATTTTAGGTGGGTTGGGCTTTCAATTTTTCAAATGGGCTAGGGCTTTCTCCATTTTTTTTCATACAGCCCACCCCTATCTCCGCCCCTGCATGTATCCTATAACAATAGTAATGTATAATTCCGCTGGGATAGATATATCACACTGTTGGTTTGTGCTATTTCAAGGCCAAAAAAATATTTCATATTTCCAAGGTCCTCAAGCTTGAATTGTCCATGTAAAAAAAAATTTTGAACCAGTAATAACATTGGCATTTGCACTTTTTATGATAATATCATCAACATATACTAACAAGGCAATAAATGAAGAATCTAAACCCTTTGTAAACAGGGAATAAACTATCTTGGACTGATGAAATCCATGTGCAATGAGGATTGAGAGAACCTTAAAAACCATTGCCTAGAAGCTTGTCTAAGGCCAAAAATGGACCCGTGAAGCTTGCAAATTGGCTTTCTTCCTCTGACAATTTCAGCAGGTAAATTAGAATACCCCAAAAGCAGATCCATATATATTTCTTCAAATAGATTACCACTTAAGAAAGCATTATTGACATCCAATTGAACAAGATGCCATTTGTTGATGGCAGCAATGGCAAGCAATGTTTTGACAGTGACCAGCTTAGTAACTAGGGAAAAAGTTTCCATGAAGTCTAACCTTTCCTATTGATTGTAGCCCTTGGCTACCAAACGTGCCTTATATCTATCTATGTTTCCATCAGGTCCGAATTTGATTTTATACACCCACCTACAACCAATGGAGTGTTTCCCTTGGGCAAAGTGGTTACAGTCAAAGTTTTGTTCAACTCCATAGCTGCTAATTCAGCCACCATTACTTCATTCCAATGATTAGAATTAATGGCCTGATGATAGAATTGTGGTTCAACATTGGAAAACGCGTTGAGAAGGAAATTTTTATGTGAATTAGAAAAGGAGGTATATGAGATGTATTTGGATAGAGGATATGTTGAATTGTTGTTAAGAGTTGGTTTGTTTCCTAGAAGGTTAAATGAAACTCACGAAGATATGATGGAGGCTTGCATATCCTCATTATTCTTCTAGGAATAATAGGTAAGGATTGATTGGAATCTGTGCTTTGAGTAGAGGTGGAAGGAGTAATATGTGTACGAATGATGGGTGAATGAGCACGTACAATCACATTTTCATTGCTGGTTGAAGCACATGAATGTATCTGATAGTTGTGTATATCATCTATATTTTGGGATAAGTCAGACACTATATTGGGCAACACAATGTCAGGAAATGGATCTACCAAATCTGAGGAATGAGATATAGAATGGAAAGGAAAATTTTCCTCACGGAAGACTACATCTCTGGAAACTAGGAAGGTTCTTGAATATTTATCATACAACTTGTATCCTTTGATACTAGGGGATAACCAAGAAAAATGCAAGTTCTAGCTCTAGGATGTAATTTATTTTTGTGAGATGGGGTTCTATTGATTGGAAAAGTGGCCGTAAGAACATATCCCAGAATTGGATTGGTACCCTTGACTAGAAATACAATGCTCGTGCCACATTAAGGAGGTGTTGACGTTTCCTCTCAACCAAAGAGTTTTGTTGAGGCCTTTCAACATAAGAAAATTGATAGATAACACCCTAGGCTTCGAATAGTATGTGAATTTCAATTCCTGGACATTATCAGACCAAAACTTCTTGATTTCCTTGTGAAATTGAGTTTCAATAAGAGCAAAAAATTTGGAATAATGGACTTTGCATCAAATTTTTCTTTCATCAAGTAAATCCAAGTGAACCTTGTACAATCATCAACTAAGGTAAGAAAAAACTTATAAGTAGCATATGTAGGAGTGTGATACGGTCCCAAATATTTCAATTGATCCAAATCTAAGGCATTATTTGACACATATGAGAGTCTCCTTTGCTTTGCCAAAGGACAGACAAGACAAGGAACTAATGCATCATCCTTGTGATCAGTACAATCAATTTGTAATTGGTTCTTTAAAAAACTTAACTTCTGGAAGGACAGATGACCAAGTTTATGGTGCCAAATTTGGCTAGTCACATTATTTGACACTGAACAAAAACTATTATTAACTGAGAATGACTTGCATAAAGAACTAGCAGGAAAGGATGAGCTGAAATCAATGACATAAAGATCTGCCTTCCTCTCACCGCTGCCAATCACCTTCGATGAGATCAGATCCTGGACAAGCAAGAATCAGTGAGAAATTGAACCTGTAAAGATGAATTCTTTGGTAAAGAACTGACTGATAGTAAGTTGAATTTGAACTGAGGGACATATAGAACTTCATTAACCGTCAATTCAGGGAAGATTTTCACACTACCAATCGACTACACAGGAACTTGTATACGATTAGGCAGTGTAACATATGCATTTTCAATAGACCTCAATGTGAGAAATGCTAACTGATAAGAACATATGTGGCTTGTGCCACCTAAATATATCACCCAATGTCTAGATGAATTGAATGTTAAATGAATAGATATTGAGAAGCATATACCTGATACCTTACCAGAATTGGCAAATGTCTCTGAATCCAATTTTGTTGCCTTGAGATAAGTATTCAGCATGTTCATCAAGTGTTGGTATTGGACAGGATTAAGTGTCTACACAAAGTTCCCAACACTTCCATCACTACTTTGTATTTGATCCATGACTGCAGCAGACTCAGAAGTCTGATTAATCATTGCACAGTTAGCTTGGTTACTTGGACCAGTTTGGGTGTTTACTCTAATCTTGTGCCTTGGTTTATACCTCGGTGGATAGTCATGAAGCTTATAACACTTGTCCATAGCACGACCATTGTATCCACAATAAGTGCAAACTTGTCTTTCCTTCTTTTGAGGCCTTCCATATTGTTGTGTCATGGCTTTCCGGAATCATCCTTTTAGTATCCTTTTGAGCATAAAATGCCATGGAGCCAATTGTTCCAGATGCATAATTTGTCATGCTAATTTTCCTATGATTCTCTTCTTGAGAAATCAATGCAAATACCTTGTTAATGGGTGGGATACGATCCATCAATAACAATTGTCCCCTGATTTGAGCATATGATTTATGTAGCCCCATTAAAAAGACATCAAATACTCCATTTGATAATATTCAACGAGTTTCTTTATCTCCTCCACAAATGCATTTTCCCACATGAACAAACAAGTTTGTAACTTCTAAGTTCTTCCCAAATCATTTTCAATTTAGTGAAATAAGTGCTGAGATGAATCTCCTTGTATGTGATTCATCAATTCTCGTTTCAATTGAAAGATGTGTGGACCATTACTTTCTTGGTAATGCTCCTTTAAATTTGTCCATATCTCACACATGTGGACTCGGAAATACAGCACACTAGCTGAAATCTCCTTGGACATCGAATTGAGGATCCATGAAGTAACAATGTTATTGTTATAGATCCATGAATTGAGCAGCTCGTCTGTCTTCAGGTCGTGTAATGGTTCCATTAATGAACTCCAACTTGTTCTTCACAGACAACTCTATCATCATTGATTTGCTCCAAGATGCATAGTTATCCCCAGTCAATTGTTGTGAGACCAAAACGAGGCCAAATTTATCCAAATGATGAAGAAAATATTGACTAGATCCATCATCAACTACTGAATTGCTCACTGATGATGGAGAACTATTTGGGGCTTATGTAGCCATAGCCAAATATGTAGCTATTGTTTAGAAGTTCCGATGAACTTGATTAGAACTGGTGGATAGCTATTCAATGCTCTTATACCATATTGAAGAATAGAAGATAAAGAAGGTGAAGAAGAGTATTTTGATATTATTCAATCAATTCACGTTACAAAGATGGATTATAAATAGGGTGAATTATGTATCTAATAACCAAACTAACTAACTAACTTGACAACTATGCATAACTAATTTCTAACTACAATTGGTGCCTAAATGATCTGAACATGAGCAGCATCTAAGCTGGGAGATGAGCTGGAGTAGCAGCTGGAAGATGAGCTAGAGCAGCGGTTGTATTCATTCTAATAGAATTAGCTCACCTCACTGCATCAAGCATGCTTCCTACATAAGCATGCAGATGTTTACTGTGCCGTGTCATTCAATGTTCCATTGCGTCGAGTCTTCTGACCTGCAAAAGTAACTTAAATCAGGATTATCCCGACTAAATTATTTTATCTGGTTAAAAGAAACGTCTTTGGTGATCACTACGAATCTAACTCTGTTTGGTAATTTATTTAGAAAATAAAGATTTGTAATATGAGTGAAGGTGCAGATCTTTAGGGATGAAGAAAGATTCAGATATGTTGAATATGAACAAATTCTAGAATTAAGATTTGGCATAGAGGGAATGAGCTAATAGATAAATTAAACATGTTGTTTATTTATTTTTCAAATTAGAATGATAAATCCCACAAGATGAGGAAAGAATAGATTATGTCTTGGAAAATTAAGCAAAAATTTGTTATAAAATTTGGAAATTAAGGGGGTGTTTGATCTCCATTTTTTCTCCTTATTATAATGAGAAATATGATCGTTGGAGTTGCTTTTTTGAATTGTAACGGTCATATTTCTCATTATAAAAAGGAAAAAATAGGGATCAAACACACACTACATAGAACTAATAACAATACACGGGCTATCTGTTTCTGCTGAACAGCACAATTTTAGCCATTGCCATCAATTTTCTAGCCGTTGGGAGCCGCAACTTTTGACTCACTCTCTCACAGTTGGCCTGCAGGTTTGAAAAAAAGGGATAAAAAATCAATTGTTTGGCCCAAAAAAATCACTCCCATACAGCTCCACAATTTAAAAGTTAATGGTAAAAGTACAAGATAATTTAGTATTATTAAAACTTTAAATCTAATCTAGTAAAATTCAGAATTTATAAAAAAATAAGGTAAAGTACCTAATTTCCACAAAGTTTTTTTATATTACACTGAGAAATTATCTACCAAAGAGTGATATAGCGCATCAATTACTAAATTAGATTTGTAGAATTGATATGTCATGTTACCATTGCTTAGCATAAATTTAAAGCACATCATTCCACAGGTTCAAGACAGATAAATATTCAGTTTTGTCTCGATTTTTTTATCTTCTCCCGTCATAAGTAATGGAAGTATTGGCATGTTATTTATTATTATTTGTAATTATTCATTCATCAATGTATTAAATTGCATCACAATTTTATTGGACGATTTTAATTGATTTCGAGTATATTAATATAAATTTTGAACTCCTTAGAAATTTTAGTTTGACCCATCACATTTCAATGGATTTTGATCTCATTAATATAAACTATAAGATCAAAATTATTTATAAATAAAAATATAAACTATAACAATAATAATAAAATATTTCATGTTCAATTCTCATTCTCATAGAAGAGAAATAAAAATTATGGTTGGATTCTCGTGTTTATTGGAACTTGGAATTGAATTATTTATTTGTGCAGCTAAGAATAAAAAATTAATCGATCCATTATGCTTTTAAAATCTATTCACCAATTAAACATATTTTCAAACATAAAATATTTACTTCATATTCTGTACTTAATACTCGGCCATCTAATGAAAATGATTTTTATTTTAAATTAAATTTATTTTGTTAATATTGTTTATTTGATGATTTTTTAGATTGATGAAATTAATTATTTGAATCAGCAAAATTATCAATTTTCTGTAATATAAAATTCTATTAAAATCTTTCAAAATTCATTAAAATTTATGATGTTATATAATAATCTTATAAAATTTGTAGAATTATATTCTATCCATGAATAAAATATATAAACATCAAGAAATTCTCTAAAATTTGAGTTGAGGAAACCCGTAAAAGACTTTAAGCATGTCAAAGTTGAATGATTTGATACACCAAATTAAATTTGAGTGACCTGAAAGAAATTACTGAAAATTGATTGACTCGAGATCCATGCAACCCATTAGAACTGAAAGTTTAATAAATTATTATTAAATTTTGGACATTCAATTTCATTGTTCTTTTTGTCGATGTCCTTAACCGTTTCTTGCAAACACATTAGTGTGTAACATATGGGCCAAATCCTAAAAGAAACAAAAATGCGAGATAGTTTATATCATCCTTGACATTTGATTTGTTGTTGAAAAATGATTAGAGGGAAAATTGTTTAATTTTTTTAAACTGCCCAATGATTTGTTGTCACGTAGAAAATGTAAATAATGATGTACATGTAACATGATCGAAAAAAAAAAAATCTTTTTTAACTTGAATGCTTTGATCTAGTTATCCGTCTCTATTTCTTTGCATTTCCTTTACAAGTTTCGCTTTATAAACCAAGTCATAAAACATTAGATTACATGATGAGCCGACTAGGAGAATTAAGGCTGGATATGGTCTGGTTCGGTTCGATTCTAAAGAGAACCGAATCAAATTCAAATTTTTGGGTATTTAGTAAATGGAACCTTAAGTCCAAATTTAATTATGGAATCGTTTGGGTATATGTTAATTTAGTTTAGTTTAGTTCGATTCGGTTCGGTTTGGTTCGGTTCCGTTAGGATATATTAGGTTTTCAGGTTTCGTTCAATAATTTATATATTACAACAACACTACATTAATTCGACTATGACATGTTCAATCTTAACTGTTACAAAACAATGTAGTCGAATCTTGTGATATCTTTTGCACCTCTTTTTATTGAGTTCTTCATAAATTTGATTGTTAAATCAGAGGAAAATGGTAAGTTCACAATAATAGAACGACAGAAACGACACTACGATAGAATAAGATATTTAGGTCAAATTTAGGTCAATTTGATTAAGTTGGTCGGCTGAAAATTAGAAATAGAAAAAACCATATTTTGGGTTTGGATTAAATTAATTAGTTAGCACATTTATTTAAAAAAATAATAATTTGACTTATTTAAGATAAAAGATATTAGGGAGATTCGATTCTTCGGTTCTCAGTTTAGAACCGAGAACCGAACCAAATCCGTTAGTTTTCGATTCAGATACCCTTTCGGATATTTAATTTAAGAAGAATCGCTTGGTTTGAGTTTGGTTCAGTTTGGTTCAGTTCGAGAGTTTTGTCCATCTCTAAGGAGAACAATTGACAATTGATATAAAAATACAAAGCCAGCCACCATCAAGTTCTCTCTCAAAATCACAATTTCCCCAAAAAATATGCTTTGCTTTCTCTTTGTAGAAAGATTCTAAGCTAACTGGCATATGACTGTTACACTAGTGTAATTTGATCTATATACAATGCTTCATATCAAGCAATAATTCTATACAACAGAACATATGGGTGTTGAAATTTTAGAGTAACATAAAGATTAAAATGCGTGAATTGGAAAAGTCTCCAATAGGTGCAAGTACCAAGGACGGAGCCAGGATTTAATGGTACGAGGAGCAAAAATTTTCAACAGTGGGCTACTGAACTTGAACGGTGGAAAAACAATGGGTATAACAAAAACATTTTTTTTTAAAGGAGGTGGTCATGGACAAGGGTGGGCTACAGCCCACTCCTACTTCCGCCAGTGGGGGCAACTCTTCAATGCAAGTGGTGCATATTAAAGAGTTGTTTCGAATGGATGTGACCTTTTTGATAAGGTGCTATCTAGACTATCAATTTGAAATCGTGTCATTTAATGGTTGGAATTAATTTGGTTATAAGATGTGACACTTCCAAGAGACACATACAAATCGATAAATAGGACTCTCCTAATTCAATTTTCTTCACTTCAAATCAATTCTTAATAATTGATTTCTAATTCATTCTTTTTCTAAATTTTGTCAAAATAATTTCCAAATTACTTTTGAGTTTTGCCTTCGATATTTTGTGTTCGATATATTTCTATCCTGAAGAGTATAATCAAGCTTTGATTCGTCCGATAAAATTAATACTGTGCCGTATTAATTTTGAATGAAGCGTTGTATTTTAAGAGATATATGTCCATTTGATCATGTTAACACTAGTGCAAGGGACTAAATCCATTTTAAGAAGATTTGATTCGCACATCTCGCTTCATTTCATCTCCTTCGCATTTTTATATTTTCTACATTTGATTAAGTCGTGATTTGATTTAATCGAGATTACTAGTTACAAATCAAATGGCATAGAATGTCATGTATAATAGTAAGTATCGACTATAAGTCATAGACATAATTCCATTTGGCGGTTGCTCTCAAATGAAACAAGCCTAATTGTTTTATCAAAAAATAACTTATTGGATCCGTTTATAAATGGGTTATCTAGAGAGAATATGCTGCGAATCAAGGAAAGCGGATGTAAAGCCTAAACTAATGAGTCGGCTTAATGGAAACCTAACCTAGCAAATTAGAAATCCCATGGACTGGGTTCAATAGGAAAATTAGTTACGATTGATTCGATAAGTAGCACATCAGAGTTTTAACTCCTCCCTATTTCTATGATTCAAATAATTGCTGTCTACCAAAGATCAATTAGGATAGGTTACGTTTTTAATGATTACTATATCTTGTAAATAATACAAGTGGAGTATTGTAGGATACTCTTTATAGAACATCACTTATGTGAGTGTGAACTGGGTTGATTCTAGGAGAATTTTACTTAGACGAATTCTCTAGCGAACAAAGAAGGTTCAGGGCCAAAATAATGAAAATAATAGAGAACCAAAGTTTGATATGATCGATAATGTGTTTGAGCTATTGTCTAAGCTTACAATAACAACCAACAATTTAAAATATTTCGTTCACTGATTAGCCAAGTAAGTTCGATAAATTCTTATTATGGAAATTCAAAGGGAAAGCTACCAATCTTGATACATTATATTTCAATTGTACTCTTCTTCGTCTTCCTTGTTATGATTCGACTTTTTCCATTCATATGAGGGATTGTTAGAATTTTAGGGGAATATAGGGATTAAAATGTGTGAATTAGAAAAGTCTACAATAGGTACAACTCTTCAATGCAAATGGTGTATATCAAAAAGTTGTTTCGAATGGTTATAACATTTTGATAAGGTGCAATCTAGACTATCAATTTTGAAATGATATCATCTAATGGTTGGAATTAATTTGGTCGTCTAATAAAATTAGTATTGTGCTATATTAATTTTGAAATAAGTATTGTATTTTGGGAGACTGACGTCCACTTGATCATGTTAGCACTAGTGTAGGGGTGAAATCTGTCTTAAGGAGATTTGTATTTGCATATCTTGCTTCGATTCATCTCCTTCGTATTTTTACATTTGATTAAGTCGTGATTTGGTCATTATTATGCACATACTATGGTTTCTGTAAACCATTATTATATTTATATTTGCATGCACGTATATTTTTGTTAACGAGATATAATTTATGCATTAATTTATCCAAAATAGGTCGTTTCAATCTTGTTATAGCCATGTTGTCACTTTCTTTGAGTCTTTGTTTCTTTTCTAATCTGGCTTTTGCTCAACTCAGACAAAATTATTATGCAAATATATGTCTTAATGTCGAATCCATTGTTGAAAACATGGTTAACCAAAAATTTTGACAAAATTTTGTGACTGTACCAGCCACACTCCGTATGTTCTTCCATGATTTCTTTGTCCAGCTATTCATCATTTAATTATCACAAACAAATAGATAATTAGATGGCGAAACTAAGATTGTGTTTGAGACACATTCTTTTGAAAGAATGTATTATTGAATAGCAGATTAATGGAGAATGTGTGGTTAAAAATGTAGGAAAAGTTATTGATGTGATGGAAAATATTATTTTATTGAAGAATGTGTGGTTGAAAATGAGTAGAAGAAGGAAAATGAAAAAAATAATGTGTACCAAACAGGGCCTAAATTTGAAGTTGTTTTTTGTTTTTGGAAAAGTAGGGTCGTGATGCTTTAGTATTAGTAGCATCAAGTGGATAAAATACTGCAGAGAAGGATCATCCAGATAATCCGTCACTGTTGGAGATGGATTTGATACAATAATTAAAGCTAAAGCAGCTGCGGATGCAATTCCCAGATGCAGTAATAAGGTTTCTTGTGCAGATATTGTCGGAAAATATGACTTAGTGAGCCACTTTTGGCATAATTTTGAGTGGATTCATTCAATCAATTGGGAAGAAGATCAAAGTTAATTTATGTTCGTCTCCGTGAGAATATCGAAATCATATATTTACTTACCAAAATTGATGCTCGGGTGAATGAGCAATTGAAGTACAAAGTTGATGCATTGGTGTGTTGAAGGGAAATCGTGTAGTTTGTCCCACATAGAAAAATGAATAAAACAATGAACACTTTATATATGATTACACTTTGAAATAATGTAATCATGTATAGCATAAATGTTCTCTCCATTACACGCGTGGGGTTGCAAATCAAGGACCGAATTAGAATCTCGGGCATTGAACTTGTGTGCGGTCGCACCCATGAATTCCTTCTCTTCTCTGCATAACATTTCTAGGATTCTGTCCGCAAATATTTCCACTTTCTGTCTAAGGCTTGGTGATCATTTTCGTCGAAGTAGCATTTTGAAGTGCTGAAACTCTACCAGTTTTTCGTTGTATATGGAAGAATCTGTTTTAAGGACACCATGTAATACATAGCGCTCGATTTGCAAATTTGTCATCTTTTAACGATTACATATTTATGTAGTATTATTTTGTGTTCAGTATCTTTATGAAATAATAACCATTTTATTTTCTATCATAGTACTTGTTTTGTTCTTAAATTATATCATTTTGCAGATCTTTTCGAATAACAAATATTCTTGCAATGGGCTACTCATGACGTCATTTCCCTGTTCTGTTAAGTCTTCTTTCAATTTGCTGGTACACAACATTGGACAAGACGAGATAGTTTGCTGGTTTAATTAATGTTGAGTTTGTGGTGGTAAAAATAAATGAAATTGCATTGCCGGCAGGTGGACCTTCATATGCTGTGGAGTTGGGGAGACTTGATTGGCCAAGCTCATCAGCTGCAAGTGTAAATGGAAATCTTCCCAAACCAAGCTTCAACTTAAATCAGCTTAATGCCATCTGAAGGCCTATCTCAGACAGACATGATTGCTCTTTCAGCTTAATAATAATTTTAATTAATCAGACTTTTTGCATAAGAAAGAATGCCACCAATTTCTACGACTTCCGCCTTAGAACATACAAGTGTGGCAAGCAGTACAAGACCGTTTAAGACTCAACGGTTATTTAATATGATTCATTAAAGATGACTAGCTATTTTATCCACATAAAATAAAATAACATTTACACATAATTATTTAGAAGTATGATATGAACCGAGTCACTGCAATTTACACTTCACATTGTTACATTTATGTGCAGCTGCTCACACCCTCGGATTTTCTCACTGCGATAAATTCGCGAACATATACAACTTACGTCAGAAACTGATGGACCCGGCCCTAATCCATCAATGTGTCCAAGAAATGTGGACACCGGGATGGCCATCAACATGGACCCAAACACACCCAGAACCTTTGACAAAGTCTATTTCCAAAATCTCCAGCAGGGTAAGGGCCTATTCACCTCAGACCAAGTCCTTTGGACGGACACAAGGTCCAGGCCTACTGTTGAATACATTGGCCAGAAACCCACAGGCCTTTCAGAGGACCTTTATCCAAACCATGACAAAATTGGGCCGGGTCGAAGTCGAGACTGGCAGGAATGGGAATATCCGTTTTGACTAGAAGAGTTAAAAGAGAAAAAGGAGAACATATTGTTTTTGACATTTTAATGGGTACATAAATTGTTAAACAAATGTTTTGGAGTCTGCCTTTTTCTTGACAACACGGAAGATTTTTTGTTCTGTGTTTACAACATTATTGTTTCAAGAGTAAAAGTGAAAGCGTTTCACGAAATTTTTGTTTTTCCTTGAGGACCGTGTGCAATAAATTTCGAAGTATAACGACAGACCATTCACGTCTATTGAAGCTGCTGTTTCTCTACTTTTCCTTTTATTCTAGGGAGTGGGGAATACCGTTAGGGCTAAAAACTCAAAACAACATTTATTGACAAACAAAATATTACATTAGCAGAAGGCGGCCGCTGAACACTTTGTACTTTGTTCGGTCAAGAGTCGAACTATAGAAAATAATCAGCTCTCAGATGCAATATCTACAACCTAACCAACTTGGTCCAAAATTTTCCTCATCTCTAAACCATGTCAATGCTACATCTCTGATGGTATGAGAATGTCAACATCATTGTTAGAAACGGTTGCTTAGAGTCATTACATCTGGTTTGAAAGTCTCATTACTTCAAATTCACAGGCTATTCTGTGGTATGAACTTCTGATGCACGCAAGGAAATTTCCTCAAGCTGCACTGCCCAATCTTCTCCAAGTATCCTAGGATTCGACTCCATTGCAACTCGAAAATCTAACATTGACACGGAAAACAACGGGTTCTGTATGTATGACATGGGCCTCATCCCATTTATGATGGATTTGGCTTGATGATGAACTTGATTGTGGAGCGTGCGTTTCCATCTTGAAGCAGCTAAATCCAGACAGGGTTCTATTAATCTCTTCATAAAAATATCGAGCCCATTGTTCAACAAGTTCGCACAACTTTTTGAGACCTTTAAACCCTCCATCTCCAAATTTAGTTCTAAGCACTTCTTCAATGAACTGGTATCAGGCAGCTCACCATTATTAAAACAAGTGTCAATGTAATTGAATGGTGCTGATCCATGGCAGAGCACCTTCCTCGTTCTTTTTGCATTAAGCGAGACGCCAAGAGGAGCTTTAACCGGGCTTTTACTGTAAATGCCTGGACATCCAGCAACCTGTTCTACGTCTTCACCATCTTCCACTGACGTGCGTTCAATAGGAGGCTTGCTAGCTAAGGACAAAAGCTCAGTAGCACTCTGCTGTTCTTGAACGTTTGCTACTGAATCTTCACATGGAACATTATGGGCATTCCCATGAGTCCCAAGAGGGCTCGGTCTATCCCTGAATTTGCGATCACGAAGGGTAGGAGTCCGTCCCTTTCTAGGAGACTGAGGAAACACATCTCTACAGAGCAACTGAAGACTACTTCTTTGGTAGCCATTAGGCCGTTTCACATTCAATGAAGCTTCAGATTTGCTATCCTTTGGTGGAGGAATCTTGGCAACACATGCATTCTTGATAATTGCTCGAATTAGCCCATTGTGAAGAGCGATATCCTCTCGGCCCAACAATCCAACACAGAGCTTATCGAACTCCGATTTGCTAAGTTTAAGACTTAAATATCCGTTCAACAGAGTGAAATACTTTTTGGCCTTTTGTCCACCAAGCTTCTGTTCTATACGAAATTTTAACCCATAAATGTCAATCCGGGAGCAATGCCGATCTCTCGGCATTTTGGCTCCCGAATCCATTACTATCATGAATATTGAACTTTATCACTCAAATAGGTTTAAAAACCTTGATAAAAAACCAACTTTGCTGACATAGTAAAAAGTATTTGCTGACGCACTGGAAAATTAAATTCTGCAACAAAATGAGCAAAATCCATAAAATCAGAACCAGTTCAAATCACTTAACCACTTTCAAATTCCCAATTCTATGGAAAATGAATTGAGAATTTAGGGCCACAATCCTTAAATAAGCCAAAACACAGAACAATTAAGCAAGAAACAGTCAATATAATCACAAACAACACCAAGAAGCAAACTTTATTCAACCCCAACTGAAATTCAACTTCTTAATCAAACTCATTCAGGAATTCCCAATCAGAAACAAAAACCCAATAAAATTGAGCCCTTAAAAGGAAATTAAAAAAAGAAAGAGTGCTCGCCTGATTAAATTAAAAATGCAGAATATGATCGCTGTTCGGACCCCCGGTGTGCTGTTAGAGATAGAAGCGGGGAGAGAGAGTGAGATTAGGGCATGTAAACAGTAAAACGTTGGCATTTGGAAGCTTCTTCTCAAGTCATAGGAAGTCAAAGGCAGCGCAGTACCTTTTACAAGTGTGATGCCACTGCTTTAATCTGAGGTTTGTTTTGTCTGAGAAACATCGGTTCTGTTTGGCTCTTCCAATTTTCGGGTCGTTGACCAGATGAGATGGAGAGTGTGTCAGATTTAAAGTCAATGGTTTGTTTATCAACTAACAAACAGGTCTATGATGGAATATGTGTTAATTTGTGCCCATCCCATGAGTACGAACTACCAATATCAAAAGTGGCTCGAAGTTTCATTGCATTGCATTGCATGTTCGAGGGGAAAATAATCTTTCATACTTTATTCATAAACATTTGTCTTCATAGCAATAATTGCGGATAAAATCCAATCGAATAAGAAGCCTGCTAGGGAAGAAGCATACAGACATCTTACATGTCACATTTAGCAATTTTTTATCGAAAGTTAACAAGATAAAATAAAATACAAATTTCATTATAAAGTTGCTACGACCGTAGGAGTTCAGCGAGCAATTCCCGTGTACAAGGGGAATTGCTCATCGAATAATGCTATTTTTAGTTCTAGTAATATTTTTAGTATCTATCTATATAATATTGGAATCCAAGATCTACATTTGATTGACATAAATACTTCATAATTTTTGGAAAGTGGATCCCAATGCCACATAGACCCTACTTAGCATAACAAGGTTCAAATAGCTTTACGCAATCAAACCCTAATTTTCTCTCGCTAAGTACGTTTGACAAGTGTTTATAAACATGCTAAAAGACAAATCACTTTTTGTTCACATATTTCTTTGGATCCGAAAGTAATATTCATTTATGCATAACTTATTTTTATCTATTTATAAGCACGTGCCAAATATATGCTAAGTATTTCCTTCTTCCATGAGTCGAGGATTTAAACAGTCAATTTTTGCGATTTTTGAGCTATTTTAAACAATTTGGAATAATTCCAAAACAAAACCAAGAACATTTCATTTTTCCAACCAAAACATGCCTTTTTTGCGAATTGATTTTGCTTCAACCCATGATTTTAGCGATTTAAAATTAACATATTTAAAACAAGTAAAAAAAAAAAATATCTTGATTTAAAATTTCAAAAATGCTAAATGTACAAACATTGGTTCACATTCACTTTCACATCCCTCTCACATATGGGATGAGGCCCGCGATTTTTAAAGTTGCGGACCCCACCCCCTATGTGAGAGGGATGTGAAAGTGAATGTAAACCAAGTGTGTAAGTATAGCATTACTCTTAAAATTTTAGTAAGTGAGATATTCTGAACACAACTACTAATGTTGTCTCAATATAAGTTTAAACCAATAATTAATACGAGGTTCAACAATAAAAATTAATATGTTGGTTTAAAATTTTACTATAATATTTAAACTGAAATATTCTGAACAGAGACATAGGAATACTAATAATATTGTCTTGGTATAACTTTAAACCAATAATTAATACGAGGTATAATAATAAAATTTAAGCTTACAATTCCATTCTTTAGGCAAGTAAAACAGATTATTGTTTTCTCAAAGAGCCCGTAGAAGTCGACTATTTTTATTTTTTTTATTTATTTTTTTGGAAAAAAATGGGTGATCGGTTTGATTTAATTTCAAACCATTCTTAACTATCAAAACATGAATCCAACCATTTTTAGACAATTTGATTAGATTTTGAGGTGGTTAAAACTAAAACATGTGGATTCAAACCAACATCAGTTTTCAAAACCGTAGTTTCGGTTCGATTTGATGGTTTGACAACTTTTTGGTCATTGGTGGGTATGCGACATGGAAAAAAATTTAAAGGTTGGCTAAACTAGGAGGAAGAGGTACGATACGTAGGGAAATAGTGTTGGGCAGAGAAACCGAGAGACTTGCAAGCACTAGCATTGTGCCTTTAAACAACGGACAATGCTAGGGGTACATAAAGATCTACATAAGGGTCTACATAATACATATGTGGCATGTGATCCTACCTTTAATTCAAATATGACACTTACACATCAACTATCGGATGATTGCCACATCTGCATTATGTAGATCCTTATGTAGATCATTATGTACCTTTAGCATTATCCTTAAACAACCCAAGGGTGAAAGGAGGACAAAGATACACTTAGAAGTCTTATCAGAGCCGGTCCTGACTATAGACAGCGTATGCGATAGTCTAAGGCCCCGCTTTGATGAGGACTTCAAATTGTGCAAGGTTAATTGATGGTCGAAGTAAAACAAAAATTATAATTACAAAATTCTTTAAATTAAAATTATCATACGTAAACACAAGAAATTAATAAAATTTGAAAATACAAACATCTCTATAAAAAAAAACATATAAATAGTATAAAACTTATTACATGTACATATGACAACCATTATTTTCTCTATATAATAAATTTGAACATGTATCTTCCTAATCATTATTTTTTTCCTTGACAAGAAACAAAAAGTCGCTTCTTTTTCTTCAAAATTTACAACCATTATTTTTTCTAATGCTCTCATAGTGGCATAGTGCTAAAATGCTGATATTCATTTCTCTTTAGATTCTTGCATTTCGTTTTATTTGTTCATTTTTTCCAGTTTTTAGTGTCATTACATTGATTAATATTTTAATTAAAATAATGCTTCTCTATGTGTTATGTAAACTTGTTCGAAATTTTCACGACCCATTTATTATTATTTTTACCTTTTCTAATTATATTTGTACTGGAGTTTAAATCTTGTATTCTGTCTTTTAATTTTCCTAACTATGTTTAATTATTTTTTAATTGTAGTTAATTATTTTTTAAATCAAAATCAACAATTAATTTTAACCACACATTTTATAGGATCCACAACTTTTCAAATATACGCTTCATCGACTTTTATCAAAATCTGTTAAAAAATGATTTTAGTCTTTATCAAACAGGGGCTTAATATTCAAAGGGGGCTCCATATTTGAAGTTTGCAGGTGAGGAGGCCCCCAAAATTTCGGGGTGCTGCCGCCTGCCCTGAGTCTTATTTGTTGGGAAGCTACTTAAAATAGAATTGAAAAAGCAAAAGAGATGTTTCCCATTTTCTGTTTCCTCACACCGCGCTGTATGCTGAAAATGGTTGGTCAAGCCTCTAAGTTTAGAAGTGGTAAAAAATTAGAGGTACTTGTATCGAAAGCTCAATTTTGTATAACAATTAAGTTAAATACTGATATCAATTAGAAAACTTGTAACTAAAACTCTATTTTCATTCATTCAAATTATGAATTAACGCATTTTAGAACATAAGTTGGCACTTAAAAAATTACGGCAAATTACACTATGTAATTTTTTAAAATTGTAACTTGCACTATAGGTTAAATCTTGTTACGGTGTGTTAATATATGTTAAACGTATGTATTTTTTTTCCAAAACTAAACATCACACAAAAATGATGGCCTCCTTTGCCTCCATCCATTGCTATTCATCACCAGTAGTGTCTGAACTACCGATGTGACACCGCCATCATGACCAGAAACCACCACCAACTTGCTGGAGTAGAACACGAGTAAATTGAAGGTAATATTAAAGTATTTGATAAAAAGAAAGTTGAGAAAAGCTGAAAATGAGAATCCTCTGCACCAATAATCATTTTAAAAGATAAGATATACCCTTTAAAAGCCAAAACCACCAAACTGGGAGCCTCACAACACAATTTCTTAGCAAATGCTTAAGAATTTTATGATGCAGAAGCAATTGCGTCTATTACAAAACCAAGACAAAAAAATGGAAATAGGTTTATGAAAGTTTGAAATTTTAATGCATACCTACTTTGTTAATAAAGTAAAAAAATGCAGAAGTGGAAGCTTCAGGCCAAAGGTATCAGAGTGCAACAAGTTCTTGTAAGAGTGCGACATGTAGTTGCATCAAGCAATATGCATTATTATAAGCTTTTTGAATACGTACACAAAGACGCGATAAAAAATAAAGGTATTTATCAATTTTTTTATTCAGATGGTGTGAGCAAAAGAGAATAAACGGCCTTGAAAACCCTTGAAAGGCCAAATGTCTCTTTTGCAAAAGCCAAAACTAACCGTCTTTCCATCCCTTCATGGCCATGGAATATAAAAGGATTTAATTAACCCAGAATGGAAGAATATCCAACATTCCGAATCTCAAAAGCCATTGCATCATCCATATAGATGACAAAATGCGACCATTTAGTTGCAACTTGCCAATTAATAACTTGCAATAGAAAATAATAAATGCCACGGACCAACCCGTCTTTCTCTCCAATTTGAAGAGTTATACCTAATACACCCCACTAAATCAAGGAAAATTCCAAAAATAAAATAAAATAGAATTAGCTAGCAATGTGGAGTGTGAGAGATTTGGGTAAACAAATTCTACTTGGAATATAAGTATTTAATTTCAACTGCAATCCTTTTCCACTATTGTGTTGTTGTGGTATAATTTAGTGTATTATGT